GCTTAATATATCAAACCCTAATACAAAGATAATATTTATACTATAATAAAAATGAAGATTAAGTGACCTAATCTCTCGACCTCTGCTCAAGCGGTTTGCTCCAGAACCCAACTTGAGACTGTCGTCGATCACCATTAGGGTGAAGCTTTCCCGCCACTCGAGCGGTGTTGTTCTAGACTTTCCCTATCACTTGGACGATTCCGCTCAGGCGGTAGTTAGGCCCCCTCAAGCAGCACTTTAGAGAATAGAGGACAAAATCCAACTGATAAATGAAAACATAAGCACAAAAACAAAATAAACAAAAGACTAATGGGTTACCAATTTTTTTTGCTTTTTTTTCTCGTGTAATTTCTTTTTCTTTATATATAGCCTTCAATTTATATCAATTCACAAGAAAAAATATACATAATAACGGATGCAGCGGCTTTTTGGTTCTTTTTAGTTGGTTCCCCTATGAAGTCCACTTCCCAACCAATGACTAAACCCAAGATACGCCCTAACGCACGTGGTAAGACAAATTGGTTCTTTTTAGTTGAAATGGTATCATGTAACACATACTCTCCAAATGCGCACACACAGCCAAACCTAAGGTAGCCACTAAGGTGTCATAAGGGTAAGTCCAAGCAACCACTCCAAAAGGGTATGGCTTAAAGAGGGTTGATAGCCCCATATACACCCCTACGAAGTCCACTTACCAACCGATGTGGGCCTAAACCCGGGATAAACCCTAACGCACGTGGTAAGACAAATTGGGTTTTTTTTTTAATTATTAGAAAACTGAAATCAAAAAAATGTGGTTAATAACTAGGATCATATGATTCTGCTTTGAAAAATAATTAACGTACCCATGGTTTGCATTTGGTAATGAAATGGCCAGTCCTCATTGGTCCATGTCCCAAATTTTAAATACTCATCAAATGTGGTTAAAATTCACTCACCCCTAGGGTTAAACAATCCAACCTTGGTTATTTTATAAAAAACTAAAATCTTAACTTTTATTTATGGGAAATGGAAAACGAACCCAGGGACAGCTTAGAAGCTGACCCTAGTGATCCATTGGTTCAACCCCTTTTTTTTACCATCCATCAACTGTGGTTAACCCCTTAGGGTTAATCAATCTAACCATGGTTTTTAGAAAAAACAAAAATATTATTTTAATTTAATTAATCTTAACCATAGTTAAATAAGGGTTAAAAGGGACACTTGGGTCAGCTTAGAAGCGGACCCAGGGTCCGCTTCTACCTTCTCTTTAATTATTTAAGCTTAATCAGGGTTAAATGGGTGTTAAAAAGGACACGAGGACGCAGGGTAAGATAGGAAACTGACTCCAGGGCCGCTAATCACTATTCGCCTGCCTTTATGTTCTGCCGATGCATATCCTTGCATCAATACCAAATGAGCACTGTTTAGCGGACCCGTAGGTCCGTTTCATTTCTTGTCCCATGTCCTCGTTTCCCTTTTGACAGCCCTTTAATCATGGTTAAGCTTAATAAAACTAAAACTAAGATTTTGGCTTTATTTTTTTTTTTGAAAAACCATGATTGGATTACTTAACTTAAAGAGTGAGTAAATCTTTACCACTGTAGGTGAGTATTTAAAATTAGGAAGTGGACCAATGACGACTGACCATTCCCTTACAAAATGGGAACCGCAGGTACATTAACTATTTTCCATACCAAATAGAGAGGGAGAATGATTAAGCCGGTAACGATTGGTCCGATTCCAACAGATTACTACGATGGGACCTACCCATCAATCGCAGGCCATGTGGTATGCTTCACTTCTCTATTCGCTATCATATCCTCAGCATCTAATCATTCCCCCTGCCTTCCTATATACAACCTATATGGCCCATAGGGAAATCCCAGAAACCGCAAAAGACCAAGACCACATCGAGACTGCACATATGATCGGATTTTGAAAAAAACAAAACCATATTTATGAAAATTTTGAGATCCCCTCATCACATGTGCGATGTCATGTGGTCTCGGCCCTTTGCAGCCTCAGTAGCAAAATTCTGGCTCATAATATATAAAATCTAATTAGAATTGAGATCAAATCACATCCAATCGTAATTAAATTCAAGGAGAGTTCAATATCTAATTTGAATTGAGATCCAGTCGCAATTAAATCTAGGGAGAGTTCAATCGCTACCACATGTGTGCCCTTTAAACCTATTATTAATGGTGATTAAGATTTTTTTTTTTTTTTTGGTAGTCGATATCATTTACCAGTAGGTTAGAAGTTAGCATGGGCAGTGGAGCTCTTGCTGCTCGTACCTGGGGGATTAGATCTCAAACCTTCCCCTTGGAAGGCCACACCCCTACCACTCACGCAAGAAGCGGGTTGTCCATGATTAAGATTCTTTAATCCTTAGTGTTCAATAATCTAACTTTAGTTTTTTTTTTTAATGTTAAAAAAATATTAATCGTTTTTAACTAGAGATCCATATTTTTTTACAAAAAACTAAGGTTATACTATTTTTAAACTAAGGGGTAGAGAATCGTAACCATAGTTAAAAGGATCAAATGAGACACTAGTTGATCAGTGAAAGCAATTGAACTCTCCTTGAATTCAATCGCGATTGGCTATGAATCAATCTCATAAGGATTACATTTTGGTGGGTCCCGCAGTCCCTGCATCAGTTCTGCGTGTGGAATTAATGATTAAAGTAGACTATTCTTTGCGTCTATCCTAAGGTACCTTAAATTTCTCCTTCTGTTTGGGTGATCGTACTCGTACGTTTGGAGCCCGGTCCGCATTGGCGTAAGAAGTGGGTTGGGGGAGAGTGAACATCGGCACGAAATTCACGGCCATTAGCAGCCTTCAGATCGACTTAGGATCGACTCTGGCTATAGCCACATATATCCTCTCTTACTGTAATCCCATGATGCCAAGTGTCCCGTAACTGCAATATATTTAATTATTTTTTTCTTTCTTCCACTCGGGTACTTCAAATTTTAAGAACAAGACAGTTATGGGACACTTGGCCACTTGGCAGGATGCCTTTGGCTATATTAACCCTGAAGGGGTGGAGCAGTGGTTCCTGAACTTATGCCTCATGAAACAGAAGATCTTGGGTTCGACTTCTCACTCTCTCTTTGGGGTCAATCTTGCACGGGATTTTCCCGCACTTACCTGGTGTGACGGGTTGCGAGCTCTCGTCGCACCCTTAGGCATTAGTCCTGACCCAAAGGGTTGGGGATACCTTGTATTACCTTTTTTTTCTTAAAATGTCTCCTCGATCCGAAGTCCTTTAGATTAGGTGACGGACCTAGTAAGGATCCTTAGCTAGGGTTGTCAAAGGGCAGGACCAGGGCAAGGTCGGGGTCAACCTTAGCCCTATCCTCAAGGAACAGGGCAGGGCCGGAAGGGTCGGAAGAAATAGCGAGATTTTTTTTGTGATTTAAAATGACGAGATTTTTTTTCTACACCGACTGTCAACCTGACGTAGAAATGGATATCCTTCTCTTTTATCCGAGTTTGGAACCGACATTGCAACAAAAAGAGCAATGACAAAGTTAATTTTTTTTCCTGTCAGTGACAAACATACATGATAGAATAAAACAAAGTAAAACTATATAAAATAAAATTTATATATCAAAATCCTCTAAGCATGAGGAGATGATTTCGCATACGAGATTAGGGTTAAGATTCGTAACGAGTGTTGAGGCATCGAGGGGTTTTATAACAATAGTTATGTGAAATTACTCATTTAACCCTACTATTAAACCGTTTGAAAGGGTGAAATGAGTAATTTCATAAATATATATATATACTTTTATGGTTTATAAACCTTAGCTACCGTGTAGCAACTAAGGAAAATGACAGGGCTTTAAAGGGCAGGGCCGGGGTGAGCCCTGGTCCAGCCCTGTAGAAGCAAGGCTTCCGGATTTTGAACCTTGCCCGGTCCAAGGACTGGGAAGGGCAAGGCTTCTTAGGGCTTTGGAGGGCAGGTCCGGATACCCTTCTACGTGGGCTCTTTTGACAGCCCTATCCTTAGCTACCAAATCGTGTCAACCTAATGGAGGCTATGGAATACTTTAGGAGAAAGAACAGAGGAAGGAAAAGGATGGTGTAGAGTGGGACCCTCAAGCCGCGTTCGCTTTACTTCCCTACTACGCAAAGAATCCGTCACAACCGTGTGATGACAAATTCCCTTTGGCGGATGTTACGTGATGGATTTTTCCATGTACAGTATGGAGATTGTACCTCGCGTGGACAAAACTCATAAATTGAAACTCATTTAATGATAGATCCAATTGAGAATTAAGGAACCAAATGATTAGAATGAATTACTTTAAGGGCTTCAAACAAGATAAAATTACTTTAAACACTTGTTTTATAATTTTTTTTTTATCATTTTTATTTTAGGTTCTAATCATTTAACTAAGCTAGGTTGGGGGGGGGGGGGGGGGGGGGGGTTTAGAGTATTCCTAGCAACCTCACTAAAATAACTAAAAAGTTATTTTGGGAGAGCCAAAATACTAAAATTTCTAAAAACGAGTCTCAAGTAGCCTCTTCAAATTAACCATTTCGGTTTGGTGGGTGTACAGTACTCACCAAACCAAATCTTCATCTCTTCCTTCCTTTTTGTGGTCCTACACAAATAATAAAATAATGTTTCTCTCTCTCTTCCTTTATTGTGGTCCCACACAAATAAATAAAATAATGTTTCTCTTTCCTTTCTTTTTTTGTTTTCCCATTCAAATAATTAAATAATGTTACTCTTTCCCCTTTTTTTTTGTTAAATTGGTGAGGCTGATTGGAGTGTTTTAAAAAAGTGGATAGTTAAAATAGAAAAAAGTGAGTTTTTGCTATTTTGGTGAGTAAAATATGGTGAGGCTACTAGGAATGCTCATGGTGGGCACTCAACGGCTACACCAAACAGCCCTACGAAGTCTGGTTCCCAACCACGGAGACTAAACCTGGGACAGTAACACCCTAATGCACGAAGAAACATATAATCATATGGTTGTTTTTGGTTATAAAAAATTTAATGACGTCGCCCGAGTTCAAACCGGAGACCTTCAATGTGTTAGACTGACGTTATAACCAACTACACCATGACACAATCATACCTTTTATGTCAAAGGTTATACAATTTAGCACTAATTATCTTACTTTTATGAAAATAGTTATGAATTTATTTACTTTTTTGGACATGTATGTTGAGCAAATGAATGGATTCTTAAACAATTCTGTAAGTATCTAATCTATTAGTCTAAAGGTTATAATTTTAGGTGCCTTTAATAATTTTGATAATAACACAATAATAAAATAATCATTTTATTACTAATGTCTCTACTAAGTTTTTGTGAAATTTAGTAAATAAGAGTATTAACACAATATCCAAGGTATAAAATATGGAAATGACACTAAGTATAAAAACGATTCACAATGCAAGCTACCTAATCAAATTGAAGATCCAAAGCAAAAATGGCAAATCTCATGACATTAAGAAAAATATCCACTAAGAAGCAGTCTTGGTCATGAAGATGAATTCAAAGAAGTCAAATCAAGATCAAATTTGAAAGACAATAAAGACCCTCCAACTAAAAGATTTCAAAGTTTATATTTAAGTTTGCGACAATTGTAAAAAGTCCTCAAAGTTTAATGGTTGAAAGCTCAAATGCCTAAATTGACCATATGTACCTTAAGAAGATAATTGCATATCATTCTAAAACCATAGGATAATATGAAATGATTACAATCTTGATAAACATAAGTTAATTGACCTATCCAATCATTTATATCACTTAGATTGGTTCAAGATGAGACTAATTTCCTAGTATATTCAAAATCAATCAACTGATTCATGTCCTATGTCTTGTTTTGACATTGTTTCAAAACCAATCGATTAGTTCCTTACTGACTTAAAAGTCAGTCAACTGATTTAGCTCTGAACATTCTGGAAATTGGCTGGAACAAACCAGACGATTGATTTGCTCGGGACAAACATTAAATGCCCTGTAACGACCAATTTTCAACGGCCATTTTTGCATTAAATGCTCCAACAACAGCCATAATTTTTCTTAAACTATAAATTGAGATCATTTATGAATGAGAAACAACCTTTGATCATTCTATGAGCTCCAATCATTCATGTAGCCCCCCAGAACTTTTCGTACCTAATGAACAACGTTCTCATACCCAATTGACATTTCACGTAGTCCAATTAATAAATAAAGAAGAATTGAAAGATTCTAAATGCCAAAATTGTTCCTCTTTGAATGACGAATCCAACGCAAGTTGAATTGTCAAAATCTGACTAACGAGTCAAAAATTATGGCCGAAATACCAAAGTGGAAAAAAATGAGAGGAAACAACAAAAATGGGAAAACACAAACCAACCAGTCGACTGGTGCCATGACCGGTCGACCCGTGCACTACTGCTCGACCGGTGCCTTGACCAATCGACCGCTCGCCTATTGATCAACTACTCCAATGACTGGTCGACCAGTGTCGCACTCTTTTTGTATGAGAGATTTTTCCAGAGAGAGGGTTTTGGACCAGTCGACCGCTCCTCGAGCGTTTTGCCTATTTTGGTCGGTTTAAGCAAATCATTAAGGGTAGGGTGGTCATTTAACCACCCCTTTTTCTATATAAACCCAAATTCGTGGGTTGAGGGTTTCATAAACCCTCAAGCATGTATTAGAAAGAGAATAGAAAGAGATGAATGGAAGAGTTAGGATTTGCTCAAGGTGGGCTTTGGATTGAAGGAGTGAAGCTCAATTCAAGCTTGGATTCATTTTCAAATAAGGATCTGTAGTGACCCTAATTTAAATTAAATACATTCAGGGGTAAATTGGTAAATTATATCCTGAGGGTAATTTAGTAATTAATTTTTGGTGTTTGATCATATGGCTAACCTTGGTGGGGTAGGGCTAACCAAATGATTTAATTTAATGAGTTCAATTAATTAAATCTAGGTTATAAACAAACAGGCCTTAGTGGAGGTATATTAGTAATTCTCTACATAGAGTTTAGTATAAATAAAATTGTTTAACCTAATAGTCATATTTTTGCTAAACCTAAATTAGGAGAAGTGAGATACGATCGTTTTGCGAGGAGAGGAGAAAAGCGGCTGTAGAGTTTGGAATTCTGTCGGATCCCCTGGAGAACCCAGTGATGGGAATTTGATCATCCAAGTTAGCTTCAAAGCTCTCCTAAGCAATCAACCTCTTACATTCTTCTAAAAAAAAAATCAGATCTAGAGGCAAGTGAATATTTCTATAATTTAAATGTAGGATGTGTTGTGATCACACAATATTTTAATGTGTTTTTCTTCTTGTGTTAATGTATGAAAATATGCTAGATCGATAAATATTTTATACAGGTATTATTCGGATTTATTAAATATGTTATGAATGATTTTAATAAATCATATAATAATATATTAGATTTTAGGGAAGAAAATATAAGAGATCTAGAAGATTAAAATTAGTGATTTTCGGAATTGAGTTAATTTAAATGAGATTTACCCAGTTTCGGTATATGGGTCATAACTTTATGACATTAAGTCCGATTTTGGTCCAATAGTACATCGTTTCGAAGAGTTCGAAAAGATCTACAACTTTCGTGAAGAAAGTTTTCCCGAAATCAGTATTTTTGTGGGTCAAAACCTTAGTTGAAAATCAAAAAGGGGAAAAGTGATATTTTTCACATTAATTTTCCTAAGATACTTTAATTAAATGTATATATTATTTGAGTGTGAGAACATTGTTTTGTTGAGATTCCTTTATAACTAATTAGTTAGTTTGTTAGATGGTTGAAAGATACCTCTAACAAATTTAAATAATTAGTTACTAAATAATTTGTTAGTAATTTGACTTATATTTTTTTTAGTTAATTTGTTGGGTGGTTGAAAGATACCCCTAACAAACTTAACTAATTAGTTACTAACCAATTGGTTAGTAACTGAGCTCTTTTATGCTAGTATAAATGTTTTACTAAACTCACTAGCATAAAAAGGGTTTCTTCAAGTCCTTAGGGGTTTGTGAAACCCTGAACCCCATTATCATGGAAGATTGAGAATTTGTAGGGTTATAAATATGTGATATTTATAACTAAAGTTTCAATTGCAGAAAAACAGTCGAAACCTCTTTTGAAATAAAGTATGTTATGTATGCCTAGATATTAATTGTAAATTATAGCATTGTAGATTTTAATTATGATGTTGACTATTATAACTATCATTTAATGTTTTTCTATATTTTTATAATAGTTAGAATTCATCTTCTAAAATAATGGTGATTCAATTAACATTGTTTTAACTTTGGTTAAGGGCTATTCAATGAGTAAATTGTGTAAGACCTCCTTAAATTGATTATAGGGTGATGTTGTGTACCACCCAATGATAGTTTCTGTAGCGCCTCAGAATTTTTCATACTTAATGAATAGCACTTTCGTAGTCAATTGACCTTTCACGTAGTCTAATTAATAAATAAGGGAAAAATTGAAATTTATGAAATACCAGAAATGTTCCTTTTCGAGAGACGAATCCAACGCAAGTTGAATCGTCAAAATCCGACTAACGAGCCAAAAATATATTGCCAAAACACTAAAGTGGAAAAAATGAGGAAAATCAATAAAATGGCCAAAACATAGACTAACCGGTCGACCGCTCCATCCACCGGTCGACCCATAGCCCACCGGCTGACCGCTCTACCCACTGGTCGACCACTATCGCACTAATTTTGTATGAGGGAATTTTTCAGAGAGGGGGTTTTGGACCGATCGACTGCTCCAGTCAACCGGTTGACCGCTCCTTGAGTACTTTGCCTATTTGATCTATTTTAGCCGAGATTTTAAGGGTAGGATGGTCATTTGACCACCCTACTTTCTATATAAACCCCAAATCCGTGGGTGAGGGTTTCATAAACCATCAAAGCTTATATTGGGAGATTTAGAGAAATGAGGGAAAGGAAGAGTTAGGGTTTTGCTCAAAACCCATCTCAAGCAAGGATTTTCTACTCAAATGATTTAATCTCATCTTCCCTCAAGTTCTCCTCCAAGTTGAAAGGTTAGTACACCCTACTAACTCCCATTAGCAATAACCTAGGTTTTCCATTTCTATTGATAAATTCTTGATTTTATGTTTTCTCTCCTTTTGAAATGTGCTATTTCTATAAAATGTAAACAAGATAATAAGGAATGTGGTGATGTGTGGATGGATGAGGGGTTGAGGCGATTGGATGCCGTAGGGATGTTATGTGATGTATGAAATGGAAAAATGGGGAAGGGCACTCTACAAATAAAGAACTTACCTCGATGATTTGAGGAAAAATATGCACTAAAAGGAGTAAGATGAACTACTAAGGAAATGTTGCATGCTATGTATTTGACAAAATGCTTAAACTAGGAGTAAATGAATTAAATGAAGAAAATGGAAATAGAAATTGTGTAAATCTTCTTACGAATGATCAATTGCTCAAATGCACTATATGTTACCTACATTGTCATACAATTATGCGAGAAATCAAAATGTTATATTCATGTGATCCTCTCATTTAAACATGTCATCATGGTTGCCACTATTGACAAGCACATAAGCACGCATGTATGCATAAATCGGGTTTTCCACGAGTAGCTTTACATGATAAATCAAACAAGAAACAAGTATATGTCAAGGAGGTTGGTAGCCCAAGTGAAGGGTGCTAGCCTCTGGCTCACAAGGAAATGAAATAATTACATGTCAAGGAGGTTGGTAGCCCAAGGGAAGGGTACTAGCCTCTGGCTCACAAGCGAAAGGAAATAAGTACATGACAAGGAGGTTGGTAGCCCAAGTAAAGGGTGCTAACCTCTGGCTCACAAGAGAATGAAATGTCAAGGAGGTTGGTAACCCAAGAATGTACGAGTGCTAGCCTCTGGCTTACAAGTATACCAGTCAAGAACAAGTCAAGATATGAAATTCAAGACAAGACAGACACACATGCATGATTTTCACAAGCAAGACCGAGACATGAAAATGGTTTCCCAACTTGAGTTTTACCGGGGTTTTCGCATTCATGCATGCATGTCAAGATATTTATATTGCTTTATGATTAATATTATTCATCTTATGCTGCTACT